GCATTGGCGGCCTCGATCTCGAGCATCTTGTCTTGCTTCTCCACCTCTATCTCAAGCATCTTGGCTTGCTTTTCGCATCGAGCTCAAGTCTCGTCCTTTGGATCTCCATGAAGGCGTTCATTTGCTCTTCCTTGTCTTGCCGGCGCCTCTCCTCCTTTGTATCCTTGCTCATCACGCCCTCCACGGTGGCAAGTAAGGCCATCGATGCCGCATCATGCTTGTTCTCCTTCTTGGAGTTGGTCTTCCCCCGCGGACGTGGCTTTTCGCCCTCCTCAAGCTCGTCCACGGCTTCCTTCCCCTCACGCGCCTTGAACTTCTCCCCGTTGATGACCATCCAACAATGAGAGAGGTTGAAGGACTTGCCATTTGAATGCCCCCAAAGCTTCGAATGCCTACAAATGAATAGCATGCAAGCATATGGGCAAATGGACATGCAAGCATAATGGAAACGGATGCAAAGAGGGGCGCATGTATACTATATCTTTCATGTCGACGCCGCTCACGGGGCGTGCCTTGATGCTCTCATGGGTGGCATAAAACTTGATGCACTCTTGTTGGATCACCCTCCATCTCTTTGAGAGGGACACCAACCCACGCTTGCTTTGCATTTTGATACGGCGCAAACTTCTTGCGTTTATGGTACTCACGATGAACAAGAAGCCAAAAGGTTGATGCCTTTTGTTCGGGGCCGACCTTGGGGTCTTGCCCAATGTCTCTCCAACACTCACAAAGGAGTTTGTCCTCAGATGGCATGTATGCCTTCGTCCGCTTGCTTCTGCACTTCGGCTTCGCCCTGGCTTGGTCGTCGCTCGTCCTGGAACAAAGGCTCCCCGTTGATGTCCATTTCATCCTCTTCCTCGAGGCGTAGTCCTCCAGGAACTCGTGGTCGAGCGGGAAGCTGCCCAGGCCGAGTTGATCTTGCATAAAGGCGCCGTCCATGCCACCTTCATCATAGGTCACCGGCGTGAATGGCGCTCAGCCATCTTGGCTTTGGGTATCCTCAGGATCGCAGGTAGCCGCGGCGGCACCGCCAACGGAGGCAGCGGCCACCCCACCACCTTCGAAGATGATGTTCTCGATGATGAAACGGTTGGACGTTTCATCGTCGCCGGCCGCCGGCATTCTCTCGAACATGTTGCGGGCATCGGGGAGCATGTTGGCTGGCATCTCCTGCGGGCGTTTCCTCGCCCCTTCGGAGGATGATGCACAGGCCACCGACGTGGCATTGAGGTCGATGGTCACGGGCGCGGGCGTGGACGACACCACCACGCCCACATCTGGCGAGCATTCCTCGGAGAAGCGGGAGACTCGCGGATAGACGTGGAAGCCGGGAATCGCTGCGTGGCAGACGCGCGCGGCGACTCGGGCAACACCATTTGAGGAAATGCCGACGAGCCCGTGCTTGCCGCAGCCATGGCGGCACTGACGAGCCCGTGCTGGCCAGGGTTTTAACCCTATGTAGACCAGGGCCTCCCTCGTTGCCGCGACGATTCGGGCATTGGTTTCGTCCTGCTGTGCGGTGGCGGAGAGGGAGGCGACGGCCGCTGCTTTGTCCCTTGCGTCCATCGTGTGCCTCCGGCCCTTCCTCTTAGCCGACTGCACGACCCGCTCCTCGAGCGTCAGCTGCTTCTTCTTCTTGGGCGGCGCCTTGGTCTTGCAGGGCGCGCGGGGCTTGCCTTTGGTGGAGGTGAGGCAGGACGAGGCGAGGGAGGCGGCGGCATTGAGGGTCGGCGCGTCGTCCATGGCCGCGCGAGCGGGCGGGAGGGTTTTGGGAAAGTGGAGAGAAATGATGGTCGCTATGCCCCCGACTGGCGGGCCAGATGGAGGAGTAGGCGCGTGTCCACGTTGACGCAAATGAGACCCAAATTTAGGTCGGAAATGGGTCAGCAGGCGGATGAAAAACGGACGCGCGTGGATGAAATGGGTCGTCGCGTTGGAGTTGGTCTTAAAGGTGTAAAAAACTTTGGAAATACTAAATAAATGTTATTGATCCGTCAAATAATAGCAGCCACAGGTAGAAGAGCAGCCAACAAACCCCGCAAAAAAAGAAAGAAAAAGAAGAGCAGCCAACAAAAACGGTAGATCGACGACGGTCACAGAACCTAATTTCCTCAGTTGTATCTTTGACGTGTGGGCCTAGCCAACAGATGAGTTTCTGCTGGGAACCAGCCGTCAGCGCGCCACCGGCGATGAATCCCCCAATCTCCTTCCCCAAACCCAACATCGGCGGCAACCACGAGCTGGCTCCTCCTGCCTGCCGCCCTGCCCCATGCCACAGCTGAGCGGCGCTGCCGCCCAGCACGTCGCGCCTCGTGCGCAGCCATGGTGTGGTCGCCGACGCGGAGTTGGCGGAGGGATGGATGGAGGGGAGACTAGGCTGGAGATAGTGAGGAGTGGTAGCGGCCTAGCAGGTAGTGCCACTTTAGATGTTGTTATTTGTTATCGAACAAGTTTAATAGCGCTGGATTATTGGATCTGATAAGACATATTACCGTACAATTTTACTGTGCAGTAATTGAGACCTGCAATACATCTAATTCAGTGGTAACACATGGACACACCCGTTTGTCCTGTATCAAAAAATACAATAAGAGTTACTTCCTCCGTTCCTAAATATAAGTCTTTGCAGAGATTTCACTATGAACTACATACGAAGCAAAATGGATAAATCTACATTCTAAAATGCATCTACGTACATCCGTATGTGGTTCGTAGTGGAATCTCTCCAAAGATTATATTTAGGAACGGAGGGAGTACATCGCACGAGTTCTGAAACAGAATTAGACTGGCACTTGCTTCAAACCGGTTGTCTAAATGTTTTCGAACCGTTGATTGTGACGAGTTCAAAGGTGTGTGATCACACATACGCCTAATTGTCTAAATGTCCAAATGTGCGAACAAGACAAGCCAACTGTCCAAGCAACATGAAAAGATGATTAGTATTCTTCATAGTCGCGGTACGCAGGTCCAAATTAATTGTTGTTCCTCCATAGAAAATTGTATAGATAACCATCTTTATGTTTGTATTTTGGTGGATTCCTTTTACATTTTACATATGAGGGAATGGCAAGACCGGGACCTCATCCATATCCGCCATTTAGACATCCAGCATCCTCATCTCCCAGAAACAAGCAGAGAGGTGAGCTAATATTTATATCCACCTCTATGAATGTCATCTCTTTCAAACTATTTGCTGGTGTCAGCTTGTTATTCTATTTTCGGGTTCATTTTGACTGCATCTATTCTAGGTCCATGCATGCTTTGAATTTTCAATCGCCTTTGCTTGAGCAGATATACATACAAGTCATTGCTTATGATACACAATGCTATAAGTAAAAAAAAGAAGGAAATAGAAACTAATGCATGAAAAATCAGACAAACAATTCAAGGTCATTGCTTAATGCATATGATACATAATGCTTTGCCCAGGTGGAGCTGCTCCACCCAGGACGCAGTATCCCATCACACCTCGTGCAGAGGAAGGGAAGAGATGCACCTAGCAAGGTCGACTACGAGCGCCTCAAGGGCTAGCGTGCACGGGCGCCTTGGCAGCGGCAACGTGCGCGGTGCGCCTCGCAGATGCAATGCACCACTGTGCTCGGTGCTCTGTTTTCGCAGTCGTCGGTAATTTCAATAAACCTGTTTAGATACCGGAATCTCCAAAAAGGATTTTTGGGGGGAGGCGCTTTGATCCGACCTGATGCCTAGCAGATTTCTTAATCTAATCATATCCTCGAAATGCGGCCGCATGTGTTAGAGCATGACAATAAGTTTTTTTGGCATCCAAATTGACACAATAGCACAGCTTAACACAGTACTTCATCCTCTTTCTATATAGTGTTGCCTTTGCTTGATTGGATGGAACGGTTGGGATCAGTAAAAACAAAATTTGAACCAAAACTATGCAATGGTGATAATACATAGACCTTTTTCTTCGTAGTCTAGTTTCTGTGCCATTAGTTAGCCACCTTCTTGGGACTAGCTAGAGACTGTGAGGACTGTTAGTAGGTACTGCCACTTTAGATGTTATTCGTTATCTAAGAAGAGCAGGTGGACTGTTGAATCTGATAAAATATACATAGCCAGTGGTATACACGAACACATCCGTTTAACTCCATAGCCACATGAACACACCTGTTTGTCACGTTTTAAAAAAAAATACAACAAGAGTTACATTACAGAGTTTTGAAGCAAAATTAGATCGGCACTCCTCGTCGCTTCCTCCCTGGCAAGGCACTACTACCTTCATGTGTATCCTGAGCACGACTTGTAACAAAATGAACAAATGATTTATGAGGCGGTATCCTTGATTCCCATGCAATTAGACGGAAGTCTCCTTCCGGTGTAACACTAGGATCTGCCAGAAGTTCCACCAATGTCACACTTGGTGATTCCTCCTTGATTGGAACATTACTTGTCATGGTAAGTGGATGCAAGGCGAAGTCCGTGATGTCCACGGGATGGCCTTGTTCTATAAGCATACTTGGGTGTACACCATGTATGGAGAGGTTTCTTTTAACGTATCTTACCCCCTTATCAAATAAGCAACGCCAAAACTGAACACTGAGGTTCATTCTCAACACATATGCGAATGTATTTATTGCGACAAGTGAACCTTGCTTACTGTGCAACTCCTTGGCAAACTCATCTGCTAATTGTACTAGTCGTGGATGTTCTGCAGGGTCTGCGCTACTGAATGCCAGCGTCTTGAATAGGTACCTCAACTCGTCGTAAGACAAAACACCTAGGAAAATAGGCTTCACAGACCCAAACCGGGCTAATCTTTTAAGTTTACTTATAATGATGATCTTGCTTCCACCTCTCATTCTATTGAGAAACAAGTGAAACTTTTTCCAATCATCGTCACCTACATCAGAAGCAAACTCAATAACTACCAACATCGTCCCAGACATGGTCCTTCCGTGGTCAAGTATTGTCAAGAGTCTATCTCCATTCAAGTGCAAAATAGAGAAGCGTGACCGAACCCTTTCGTCGCCACACACATGAGCAACCAATGTTTTCTTCCCAACTCCAAAACCACCTATGATCGGAAGAACTGCCGGTGCATGATCACCAGGAGGGTTCTTGTGCTCCAACAAGAAGCTCAAGAGCTTTTGTTTCTCAGCATGTCGGCTGAACATGAAGTTTTTTGTGTAAAGATAAACATCATATGGCCTACGAGACATGTGCTCGCATCCACCCAGAAGCACTACAAATTCTGCCATGTTAGCAACAACAATTTCTAAGCTTTTCAAGGCACCATCTGACTCGAGGCGCATGGCCTTCTCATCCTTCTCAGCTTTTGTTCGAGAACGCTTGACAGGAATAGATAAGTACAAGCTGCTGCTAGATGGGTCATTGATGCTAACCTCGTCAATGCCTGGACTGCCTTGGAGGTTTCGGTAGCTCAAGGTGTCCAGCACACGGTATCCTTTGTACATGGCCTCCGACAGTGTCTTGAGCTGCAACAACATCCCAGTATTTGTTATGTACCGCGCATCTGCTTCCTCGACGATCATGCTGACTCTCATCAGGAGGTTCTGCAATCTCTCCACCAGCTTCTCCTCTGACTGTGCATGGCTCAAGGAGGAGTGGTACTTGTTCATCAGGAAGGAGATGAAACGACTCACTAGTTCACCTGCGACTACAGATATTGAAGCCTCCATGGCAAGCAACAACACAATTGATGAGGGAAGCTGCTGGTCGGTCTCTATGGAGTCTGGACAATTTAACCAAGCTTCTGCAAGTCTTACAGAAATTCATCAAACAGTAGAAATGTCTCCAATTGACTGTGGCGAGTTCAAGGGTGGGTGATAGACGGCTGCTAACATTTATCCTTATATACTATACATGTACCTTTACTCTGCACTTGTCTACTACCCCATGGAATACAAAAGTTGGGCTCCTAGAAAAAACATGTGAGAATGACAAGCCAACTGCCCAAGCGATATGAAAACATTGACTTGTATTTTTAAAATTCACAGGTCCAAATTAAGGTTGGTCCATACCAACGTGTACATGTTAATTATATATGTATTTCTCTTTTGTGTTGGACTCCTTTTACATTTTCCATGGCATCCAGTGCATGTTTTCTACTCGAGCAAAGTTTGACGGTGGAAACTGTTTGAGCTTTTCCAGATGAACTTCTCTAGAGAAAGCATGGCGCTACTCATTGGCAAGGAAATGGTATATACCGTTTTACCTTGGTCAGTGATGAGAATAATTTTAACTCTATACTTTAGTAGTAGTGATCTTCCGGAGGGCATTGTACCCGAAAATCTTGCAAACAAGCTACTGGCCATGTGCAAGGAGGTGGCGTAACTTGCAAGTCATCACCGTCGCCTGCATCTTCACGCCCGCCTTGTAGGGTCAGTTTTATCGGTTGTCCTTCTAGCAAAAGACAAGTCAGGCAGAGAGTAAACAATAGTGTAGTAACTCTGGTGCTAATCCACTTATGTGATCTGCTCTGTTGCAATCAGTGTGCAGGTTACCTAGATACTACCTAGGGTGTGTCTGTTCGTGTTTACCATCAAGGAAGTTAAGTTTCCTTCAAGTTTGTGTCAAACTAATCTTGAATTCTATTTCTGTTCAGAATTTCTAGCCCGTTTTGGGCATTGGAGGTCACTGCGCTCTCTCCTTTTTCTTCTCCATTTTACTCAAGGAAGTTTGAGGCCCCGTTTGATAGCAAAGTATTTTCTAAGTATTTTGAGAATACTACAGTTTGTGAGATTACCACAGTTATATTTACAATGACCTGTTTGGTTGCCTCTAACAACTGTGAGATTACCACAGTTATATTTACACACCCTCAAGTGTTGTCTTTAAGGACTCTGAAACTTTTGAACATTCAGAACACACTCAAGATTCATTCGCTTCACCGCCTTCACTCAAGATGAACACCGCCTTCACTCAAGATTCATCGACAGTTCAGGAGTGACCAAGTGAATCCAATAGCCTGATTCTATTCGTTATTTACCATTTCCTTGTTGTTTTTAGTTAGCTGTTTAAGCCTAACCTTAAGTGAACTAACTGCCAAGTGCCTAATGTGACCTTTGCGGGAGTATATAGCCCCACCTTGGGTGAATGAAATGCAAGTTTTAACGTTTCCTTTTTGCTGATATTTACCTTCTTACACTAGAAGTAGCCTGATTTTCCTTATGGCCTCTTCCCAGATCCACCATGTCGTTATGGCAACATGCATTTAGTGGCATGTACATGTAATTTTTGGGGGTATATTTTGATTATAAAGCTACAAAATTACCAGGTGCTGCCTGACAAGCTGCACATGCACTGCTTATCCATAAGAGATGAATTATATACAACTGCGTTCAGAACAGTTGGCTTAGAAGTTTCTCTTATAGTTATAGCAAATACCAAGGCCAGAATTAAAAACTTCTGACAAACAAAGTATTCGAGGGAGTAATTGTACATCGAGGAGGACGTTCTCGCATGTAGATTGTAGTCAACATCTTGCTCGGAAAATGCATAACTTCTTAAAGCACTACGATAATGGAATACAAGATAACAAATGTTGCCCTTGAATTGTTTGTACAAAGGATTAAAAGAATGCATGGATCTCGAATAGATGCAGACACAGTTGAAAGAGGAAATAAAATAACAAGCTGATGCAGTAAACAGCTCGAAGAGATGAGATCATAGTGGCAAAAAATAACTATTGGCTCAACTGTCCGCTTGTTCTGGAAGATGGGCATGCACTAGTCTCCATCAGTGATCCTCTGGATGTCTACATCGAGGATATGGGAGAGGAGGTCCCGGTCTTGCCATTCCCTCATATTTAAACTGCAGGTTGGAGCAAGAATTCAGGGTGTGTTTGATAGCAAAGTATTATATAAACCAAAGTATCAAAAACTACAGTATTTTTGTCTGTAGGTATGAGATACCATAGTTTTACCAAAACACAATATTTCGAAGTATTCACAATACACAGAACCTGTTTGGTTGTTGCTGCACAACGCTGTAAATTTTGCTGCCTGGCCATTGTGTTGAAACAATCATCAGCTACCTAGCCGTTGCGTTATCTCCCAGTACAAGCACACGTACCTAGCCGGCTGTTTGAATACTAGTATTTCTGTTGCGTTTTTGTAGCTAGCTATCCCTTAACATCTGCGTGCATAACAGCCAAAGCTGAACAACCTCTCAATCATCATACAGACAATGGGGGAAAGCGAAAATTTCCCATGTCAGATTTTTGCCAACGCTGATGAAACAAAAGCAGTGTGTTCAAGTACTGCAGCCGCAGGTAACGAACAACTATGAGACCTCAGCTCAGACAGTTTATACTTACACACATGGGTGCCTACTTCCTACGCAGACCCTTCTTTTCGATTGCTCTGTTTTTTAAAAAGAGGTTTCAGGTTTTTTTTTATGCAAAGAAAAAACTGCAGTTTCGCCAATACTACAGTATTAAAATCACAGTTGTTAGAGGCAACCAAACAGGTCATTGTAAATATAACTGTGGTAATCTCACAAACTGTAGTATTCTCAAAATACTTAGAAAATACTTTGCTATCAAACGGGGCCTGAGTCTTGTTACAGTAAGTTTTAATCGAGGTCTCCAATGCATTTAGTTTAATGGCTATGTGAACACATCTGTTTATCATGTATCAAAAAAAATACAACAACGGTTACATTATGTGACTTCTGAACCAAAATTAGATTGGCGCTCCTCGTCGCTTCCTCCCCGGTAAGGCACTACCTTCATGTGTATCCTGAGCATGACTTGTAACAAAATGAGCAAATGAGCTATGAGGAGGTATCCTTGATTCCCATGAAATTAAAATGAATCTTGTTCCGGTCTGACACTAGGATCTGTTAGCAATTTCCCAAATGTCACACTTAGCAATTCTTCCATTATTGACACATTAACTGTACAACGATTTCATGCTAAATGGATGCAAAGCAAGGTCCGTTATGTCCACCGGATGGCCTTGTTCTATAAGCATGGTTGGCTGCATACCATATATGGATAGGTTTCTTTCATTCATTCTTATCCCCTTTTCCAATATGCCACGCCAGAACTAAACATCAAGGTTCCTTCTCAACACATCCGTGAACATTTTTATAGAGACAAGTGAACCTTGCGCACTATGCAACACCTTGGCATATTCATCTGCTATTTCTAGGAGTCGTGGATGTTGCATGGGGTCTACGCTTCCGAACATCTTGAAAAGGTATCTCAATTGATCATAAGATAGAACAGTTAGGAAAATAGGTTTCACCGATCCAAATCAAGCTAGTCTTTCAAGTCTACTTGTGATGATGATCTTGCTTCCTCTTCCCATTGTTATGACAAAGCAGAGAAACTTTTGGCAATCATTGTCACCTATATCAGAAGCAAACTCAATAACTACCAGAACCATCCCAAACATGGTCCTTACATGCTCAAGTATTCTCAAAAGGTTATCTCCATTCAAGTGCAAAATAAGGAGAAGCGTGGGCCAACCCTTTCATCGCCACACGAATGAGCAACCAAAGTCTTCTTCCCAACTGTAACACCTCCTATGATTGGAAGAATGGCCGGTGCATGATCACCAGGAAGGTCGTTGTGCTGCATTAAGAAAGTCAAGAGCTTTTGCTTCTTAGCATGTCAACTGAACATGAAGTTTCGGTGTAAAGATACATATCTTAAGGCCTATGAGACATGCGCTCGCAACCACTGAGAAGCAGAACAAATTATGTCATATGAGCAACAACAATTTCTAAGCTTTTGAAGGCACCATGTAACTCAGGGCGCATGGCCTTATCAGTTATTGTTCTAGGAGGCTTACAAGCTAATGCTAGATGACTCATTGTTGCTAACCTCTACACCATCCTGGAGGGTTCGGTAGCTTGAGTTGTGCAACACACTGTATCCTCGGTACATGGTCTCTGAGAGCGTCTTGAGGTGCGCCATCATCCTAGAGTTGGTTATGTATCGCGTGTCCGCCTCCTCAGCAATGGTGCAAACTCTCATCAGAAGATGTTGCAACCTCTCCGCCACCTTCCCCTCCAAGTGTGGATGACTCGAATGGTACTTGCTCAGTAGGAAGGAGATGAAACGGCTCACAAGTTCACCTGCAACGACAGACATAGCAACCTCCATGGATGGAGTTGATGAGGTAAGCCGTTGTTCGGTCTCTGAACAAATGTAACGAGGTTTTATGCTCCGCCAAGTGTTGCATAGACTCTTGTCCACTTAGACAAGTCTCTAGGGAAGCAAAATAGAGAAGTCTCAGGGATGTCTGACTGCGCCGAGCAGATGAGTTGCACACAGGTCGAAGACTAGTGCATCCTTATCTTCCAGAACATGCAGGTATGTCAGATATTATCGACGTACGACAATCTATGCGCCCAGAGGCCCTTCTCCGTTCGGTTAGGGCTCGCAACACACAAAGAGCAGAATCAACCACGAAGCGAGCAATCAGTTTACCCAGGTTCGGGCCGCTGTGAAGCGTAAAACCCTACTCCTGCTTTGGTGGAATATGAGTGGAAATGCCCAAGTTACAAGAGAGTGCAACCTTGCCGACAAGGAGCTCGGGAGGTGCAGCTAGCTAATGCAAATGGGCAGGGTGTTAACCCTTGTAAAGGTTGTTGACGGTGTCCTGGACTAGGGGGTATTCACCACGTCGTCTCCCGATCAGGTGGATTGGCCCGAGGATCCCCATGG